AAGAACCAGTACTAATACAATATGTCTCCCTTCATTCAAAGGGGATCCTATTTTGAATAATTTCATCTGTATACACTCTTCAAAAATCTGAATATTATGTCATACTTGTGAAATGAATGATATTCGGTGGGAAACCCAAGTCCATGTTACAAAACGAGCTACAAAAGTGAGACACGGTCTGGAACAGGATAAACTGAAACACATACATGCAGTAGAGGGAGAGTATGTTTGGCAGGAAATTGAACTGAACTTAAAAAGCTGTGGACAAAACAATATGTTTAACGTACGTAACTTACTACTTACCTGTAGTTTTGATCTCGGTCTGTAATGTATTTGATCAGTATTGCTATTTTATGGTTCACACAGTAATAGTTAAAACATTGTTATTACTAGTCCCACCACACAATCGATCGGATTAAAACCAGATCTTTAGTTCCACTCCGTACTCTACGTTCCAGTAAAAGGAGCGTAGAGTATCGGAGTGGAATTAATTAAGATCTGGTTTTAATCAGATTACCACACAATATACATACATTGGATAAATGACAAGAATTTACAACACACTTCCACAATTCACACATATATTTTTGTTGTTCTTAGCACCAATTACCCGGTAGAATCAACTTCCAGGCACGTTAACAGAGTGACTCGAGTACCTTGTATTGCGGTTCTGATGTTATACATACTATAACATATAACATATAAGTACATGTAGGTAATTAAGTCCACATACTGCACCATTTAAAACTTAACAGAAGCAAAATAAGAACATTTCACTTAGCCTATGTACATTGTAATAAATAAAACACACATGTACATGAATAACTAATTTTAAGTCTTAAATTAGATTTGTCTTCCTTCAGGCTGTGCATGCTCGGACAGTGATATGCTTTTCATACCATAGTTGCCTCAGACTTCTGCGTAGCTTCCGTTGGTTGAACACTTTTTTCCTGTGGTTTCTTGAAAGTTACATAACTGTACACTAAACTCCCAGAGACACTGTAACAAAGGGGAATAACTCCAATAATTAGTCTTTCTAAACACTTTATCACAGGTATGATAAAAGGATGGATATCACCAATAGCTCCCGTAAGCTGAATATCTATAACTGTTACATCTTTACAGGATAGATAGAAAATATCAACTTTGAAGATAGTCGTCCATTGATTGATATTTAGCCAAAGTTTATGAGAGAAACCAGTAAAGATTTTCACCTGATATTCTTTTCTTTTTACAAATTGGGTCAGTGCCGCAGTTAATTATCAGTGACATTTTGAAAATAATACAAATTTAATTAAAAAATCTCTAAGTACTTGTAGCACATCAAATACATGTTTATAAAAAGTTCTTTGAAATATTTGTCAGTGATAGATGTACAAATTTGTAACTCAAAATCTACAGCTTGACAATTTGTACGACACTGACTGTTCCTTACTTTATTTTTATTATCTACAGACATGTGATTCATATACAGATCTTACTTACCTTACGTAATATATAGAGAAAACACAGACTCTCACCTTATATTCAATCCTATAAAATTGATGGTACTGAATATGTAGTCCCCTCCGAGGAACATGCCTATATATGTCACCAACAGATTCTGTAGACAGACAAGCATTTAAACTATTTAAAATTGGTCAAGGGGAAAGCCTTCATAAAGGGATTGAACAGATATTTTTTAGCATGCATGTTGTTATGAATGCACAGTGGTCACAGCCATGTTGTGCAAACCTGCTATTGCTTTGTGCAATATGAGTGTAACTGATTTGCATTCTTACTATATTTATATTTTTAAATTTACAGTTACGAGTGATCTTTGCATAAAAATTCCAAACCATCTGTGGTTCTGAAGTGTTCATTTAATCAGAACAAACAATGTAACTGCAACAGCAAAACATCATCTAAACTTTTGTTTTTTATGATAATTTTACATTATCCAAGGGATGAGGAAAATCAAAATGACATATCCAACTGCATTCATAGCCCTATGAACATAATTTCTTCTGAAAGTGTTTCCATAGGACTTGAGGAATGTAAATACATAACACAGGAAATAGCATGTTTCTCTGTTTCAATAAACACTCAGGCCGCATTCGTTCATCGCTATCCAAATGGTTCAATCAGTCAAACCACAGTTGTTCGCTTATTAAATAATATCGGACCTATAAATCTGATGCTGCTTTCAGGCAAGCCTTGACAAAGCCTTGCAAGG